CCCTGAACTTGGGTTTCTCTATACCACTAATGTATAAGTCAGGGACGTTTTGGACATGGCTTGAGGAAGGTAGATGTTCTTAGGTGGATAAAAGGTTGCAATTAGTCCATTTTACATGTAATAGCCAGAACTAAGTAATCATTCATTATAGTCTGATTAAAACTTTCATGAAAATCAACTAAAAATTTGGAATTAAGTATTTTAAAAAGTTTACAATGCATTAAAGAGCAGGCAATCAAGTGGGGGAATATATAGGGGTGGGAGATGGGGACATATAAAAGTAGCCACAAGAGCCACCTTTCATCTTTAGGGATTTTCCTGAGCTGGATGAAGTTGAGCATCTGTTATCATGATCTTATTGGACTTGACACCCTTCCTCATGTGGGAAATCCAATAGGATACTCTTCACAAAGCTGATACCCAAAGGCATTCGAGGAAAATTGTCTCAAACAATGGAGCAGACTTAAGGGAAAAAAGCTTCCCAGAGGATTCATAGCTGCACACCAGATCTCACATGAATGGTCTGAAGAATTTCAAGCTGAGAATTTAGTATTAAATGGTTCTGAATTGCTAGTGATCCCAGGCATCTACCATCAGTAAATGAATATCTTCTCCAGAGAACTCATTTTCATTTCAGCTCTCACTCAATTTCTATAAGTTCCAAGGATCACATAATATAAAAACAAATCACATACATAGAAGAAAACAAGGGACCATAAGTAAGAACAAGGTGGAAAAAGATCAGATAGTAGAAGCAGACCCACAAATGCTTCAGATATTGAAATTTTTAGAAATAGAGTTTAAAGTATGTATATTAAATATTTTAAATAAATTAAACAGAGGCTGAAAATCTGAGTTGAGAATACAGATTTAGAAAACAACCAAACAGAACTTTAGAAATAAAAATAATAAAAATATAAAACTAAATGGATGACTTTAACAGAAAATGAGACAAAGCTGAAGAAAGAATTAGTGAACAGGAGAATATTTTTCAAATTATCCAGAATATAGCCTAGACATATAAGGAGAGAGATACTATGAAAGAGACGTTTGATAAACATGGATGGTAGAATAATATGTGTATTACCAGAGTCCCAGAAGGAATGGAAGGAAAAGAGTCCAGAATTTTCCAGAACTGATGAAAGTCACCAATCCAGAGTCAAGAAAATCAAAGAAACCAAGAAAAATGGATGAATAGAAATCTACACCTAGATACTTCACAGTGAAACTATAGTAAACCAAAGACAAAAAGAAAAATCATAAATGCAGTCAGAGAGAAAAAAACAGATGACATTTCAAGATTACTTTCAAAGTTTCAGTTGTTATTAAGGAAACTAGAAGACAGTGTAATGATATTGATAATACACAGAAGGAATTAATAGTAAGCTTTGAACTCTTCATCAGTGAAAATATTTTTCAAGAACGAGAGATAAACAAATACATTCTAACTCAAACAAAAAGGGAAAGAATTTTAGGCAGAAGGAAAGTGATCCTAGATGGAAGATCTCAGATGGAAGTACAAAAGAAGGGCAAAGTAAAGGTAAAGTTCTGGGTAAATCTAAACAAACATGGACTGTATACAACAACATTCATAATGTATTTTTGAAGGTGACTTTAGTTTTGAAGAGGTCCTTGTATTGTTTGAGAGAGGGTGGATACAGTTATAAACTCTGGCTTTAATAAGTTAAAATGTCCCTATTAAAATTTCTAGGATAACTCCTAAAGAATAGAAATGGAGTAAATAACTTCCAAACTATAAGAGTTGGGGGCAGAAATGGAAGCATATATAACAATCCTAAAGAATGCAAAAGTGAAAGAAAAACACAGATTGGGGAAATAAATGGGAAGTACAAAAGTAGACGTCAGAAATAGATTTAAATTTATCAGCACTTCTCTCTCTCTCTCTCTCTTTTTTTTTTTTTTTTTTTTTTGAGACAGTGTCTCACTCTGTCAACCAGGCTAGCGTGCAGTAGCGTGATCTTGGCTCACTGCAACCTCACTCTCCCAGGTTCAAGTGATTCTGAAGCCTCAGTCTCTTGAGTAGCTGGGACTATAGGCATGCACCACCCACCATACCCAGCTAATTTTTGTATTTTTAGTAGAGACAGGGTTTCACCATGTTGGGCATGCTAACTCCTGTCCTAGCCTCAATTAATCCACCTGCTTTAGCCTCCCAAAGTGATGGGATTACAGGCGGGAGCCATTGCACCCAGCCTAAATTTATCAACAATTTTAATATATTCGAATTGTCTGAAAGCTTGATGTAAGAGCCAAAGATGATGAGACTAGATTAAAAATCAAGATTAAAAATTTTAGATAAATTTGAAACATGATGGTTTAGAAAGTTTGAATGTAAAAGGATGAAAAGAGATAGGCTAACACCAGGCAAATACTATTCAGAAGAAAACTGTTTAGACTCTAAGGCAAAAGTATGATTTGAGGTAAAGAAAGTAACAACACAGTGATCAATGGTTTTATTTACCAGGAAGATACAGAAATTATAAACTGTTACGTATGTTCTTACACAGCCCCAAACTGTGTAAGGCAGAACCTGAAGGAACGATAGGATGAAATAGAAAAATCTATCATCCTGTTAAGATATTTAAACTCATCTCTCCCATTAACTGAATTATGTCAAGCAGATGTAAATTCAGTAATAGAAGATGTCAACAACATAATCATCATATTTGATCATGGACATATATTTAGCACACTGTACCCCAAAGCTGCAGAATATATATTCTTTACCAACCATACACAACGTTTAAGTCTCAAAACACTTAAAAAAATTAATAACTTATAGACCATGTTGTTTGGTATGGTCCTGAAAACTGTTAAAATCGTCAAGTAGGAAATATGATTGCTGAAGTATGATCTTGGGAAGATTTAAGACTAATTTGAAGGGTTGCCCTATGCACACTTCTCTATCAGTCATATGGGAAGTTCTATATGAAATGTGTATTACTAAAGTTATAGCACTAATTTCATTAAACCTGTTACCAAGATAAGTGTATACTATTTTTTTCTAATGTTTTAAGACTTCATACATGTAAATCATGTACACCTATGTTTCTATCTCTTTTCCTTCAGTAATATCAGTACAGATAAATCTCTTCATTATGGTCAGCCTAAAAGCTGGCTTAAAAAGATTTGCTTAGGGATGTGAATGTGTAGTATTTCTCTTGATATACTTAATAGAAATAGAACAAATAATTTTATATTATGCAAGGGTATGACTGCCATTTAAAAAAACCTAACAATGAATGAGGTTAACAATTGTATTCCTATCTCCTCACTCTAAATAAAAAAGTCCTCAACATGGTCACCCCAAGTAGGGCTCCCTTCTTTGGAAATAATTAACTACAATGAAAGGAGAAGTTTGAGAAATTCAGTAACACTTTGGGCAGAAGTGGCTTTTAGTTCACAGAATTTTTTTCCAAGTCTTTGCAGTATGGTCACTTAGGAGAAAAATCTTTATTTGGGAAAAGAAAACTTACATAGTATAGTTTATCTAACTGTGAAACTGAAATTCATTCAATAATTTCTCAAAAGATAATACAAATTTGTAGCACCGTTTTCACTTGAACATCACACCGCTCACATGATATACAAGTAATAATCCCCATTTTACAAATGTAGGAAGCGAGAAACTGAAGTGTCTCACCCCAAGTCGAGCTATGACGACACTTTATGATAAACACCTTTTTTTTTTTTTGGTTTCCCAGTTATGGCCCATCCTCATTTTGACTAATAGACCCATAGCTATACAATATTTCTCTTTTTGTGGACCAAGTAGTTCCCAATTTTGTCAAGAAAGTTTAAGGTTGTATAACTGACTGTAACTTCAGGTTCTCTAAGTTTTTTAATTCTTGAGACTCCTTTTCTGACTTTTATGTCTCATGACTCACACAACATTCATACCACATTTGGCTTCCTCTCATCATCTTTAACTTCTGCACGAATTAAGAAAGTCTGAAGTAACCACCTTTTGGAAGAAACACTGGCCATGTGTCGAGGATGGCAGTGTTAGTTGGTAGAAGGCCTTTTCCGGAAGAGCTCTGTAAGAGCCTGGCCTTCCACAACCATTTGAATGCCCATCATAAGACTTTTTCTACCTGTCTTCTCAGCAGATCCTAAATGTGAGACAGCAGAGGAGGGAGACAGGCAGCATGAGGTAAAGTAAATAATCAGCATCTGATATACCTGGTCTGAACTCCAGCTTTGCCATTACTCCCTGGTTTCTTCATCTGTAACATGCTGATGAAAGTACCTATCACACAGCTATGGCAAGTACTGGGAGGGAGTGCGCATCATCTGCTTCACATGTGCTTCAGGGTTGTGTAAATCAGCCCCTCCGACGCTTATTCAGTGGGGCCCTCTCTGAACTCGCCTAAACTGCCAGTCTATGAGGCCTGCGACTGCGTGCATGTGTTCAAAAGTTAGTCTTTGGTTATTAACTGCGGTCCGTGGTATAGGAATGTCAGCCTCCCACATGTGCAGGCAAGTGGGGCACTATCATTTGGCTACTTGACAGGGCTATTTAGCAGGTGCATATGTCTGAACATTCCTGAATCAGGAGGGGGTAGCTGTGGATTTCAGAGAGTCGTAACCAGGCCACAGCAGGAGTGACGCAAGAGCTAGGGGCATCAACTTGAGCTCTGACTTTGCAGTACGAAATGAAAGGAACTCAAGTCCTTGTGCATGTGATGTGGAAAACACTGCAATTCGAGATAGTTTTCCGGGTACTTCGCCGTTTGGGGGGTTGCAGCCCGGACGCCTTAGAGCCTGGACTGGACCCAGAAAGGAAGCCGGTTGGTTCATGCTGAGGACACAGGGGGCACCTTGCCTTTCTGGCCCAGTGGCAAAGCGGTACGTGGAACATCCCTGCAGGCACTAGTGCTCCCCTGCAGCCTCTGCCGCCTGGGCGCGGGGACCCGGCCCCCGCCCCCACAATAGTCTCCGGCTCGCCAGCCGCGCCGCCCAGGTGAAGCCGCCGGGCGCGTCCCTGCGCGCCCCTTCCCCCTCCCGGCGACTTCCTGATTTGCAGAAGGTGCAGGAGCCGCAGCGGGCGGCCCCGGTCGCCGGAACTGAGGCCTCAGCTTTGGTGGCGGCGGGGGCGGCGACCGGCGGAGACGGGGGCGGCGGCGACGCCGCCCCTGCTGCTGTCACAGAAAGGCTCTGGTGGGTGGGGTGGGAGGCGGGGAAGCGCTGGGGGCGCAGCCGACATGGGCCCGCCGCCGCCGCTGCCGCTGCCGCTGCCGCTGCCGTGAGCTGCCTTTTTCCCGGTGGGGCCACCGGCGTGGGCGGGGGCGGGCGACCCTCGCGCGGCGGGGCTGCGGGCTTCCAGGGCAGCGCGCGGGGCCGACGGACAGCCCCACACCGACATGTAACCATGGACTGCAGGACCAAGTGAGTCTGGGGGCCCGGGCGCGTGGGGGGCGGGCGTCCCTCGGCGGCGCCTCCCCGGCCGGCTCGGCTCGGCTCCTTAGCCCTCCGGCGCCCAACCGGCTTCCCGGGCGGCCGAGGTTGGCGGGCGGGCGGGGGGTGCGGTCCGGCCCCCAAGCCTCCGGCCGGCCGGCGGGACGGCGCTAGGCCGCAAAGCCTGCCTGCCCCGCGTCCCGGGCTCGGCGGGGTTGGCGCGGCGCCTCCCGGAGCGGCCCCTAGCGCCGCATCGACGCCCGCCTCTTGGGGACAGGGGGAGGCCGGGTGGCCCCGACACCGCAGCTGAGGGTTTCTCGCGCTTCTCCCGAGTGTGACATATGTGACTCTCCCGGGGCTGCTGTGTGCGTCTGGTGTCCCGGAGGGAGTCACCGTTGAGGTTACTATGATTCCGAGTGCTCTCTTGGCATTAAGATAACCGGTTTTTCCTTAAGTGTATTTATCAGTTTTGTCTTGGATGTTTTCTTATGATTCTGCTTATAAAATTAAATTGCTCTCTGGTATTTATGCAGGAACAGTACATATGCATGATACCATTGCAAAATGGTATCCAATTCGAGGACATTTTTAATGTGTCCTAAAGTATTTGTCGACGACTATTTATTTTGCTTTAGGAGATTAGGCATAAAGCAATTTTGATAACCGTAGTGGTTTTGTTTCTAGGTATCTTAGAGGCATGAGTTTTATATTTTTCTTCTGAAACTTACTTTGGAAAGAATTCCTTCTTTCTTCGCTTATCCACCCTTCACTACCTCCTTCTTACAAAGTTTAAAATAATATCATGTATATTTGTATTACTGGGAAGGGCCGTTTGAATTTCACAAAAGTAAAACTGAGTCAGTATTTAACTTTTACATCTCAGAGAGATTCTAAAGAATATTAGGGTAAGAGGGAAATTATGTAACAGAATTATTTTCTTCTTCGGTGTGATTGACATAATCGTGGGCAGGGTAAGTGAGTAAAAATAGTATGCTTCTTGACATTAATTGTTTTAAGAGGGAGGAAGTCATCTGAGTCCAGATTATTCCCATTGAAACAAGTTATTAGTGGGAAAACTGAGAAAATGATATTTGCAAGTTAATTTATATGTCTTGTCACTTCCTATGTTTCCAGATTCATGTCTTGTAAGAAAAGCTTTTAAAAGAAGAAATGTTGCTTTAAAAGTCAGAGCTGGCATTCATTTCTTGAAGGAAGTACATATTAAATACAGCCAATATACAACAGCACTAAGGCCTTGTTAGTGGGAATAACAGATATTAACACATTGGCCGTTGTGGTATCAGACTTAATCTTTTACCTTCTGTTGGAGCGAGAGATTTAAACGTTATGAAAAGAAGTGTCTCAGTGGATTTCAGTTCACATTTTGAAATGTAACCAATGTTGCTTTGAAATTTTGCTAATGTGGCAAGTTAGTAAAAAAAGTCAGTAACTTCTGAATGAAGCAAAGCAAGCTTAGAGCTTCTAGTGGGAAAATCTGACATGGAATCAGATGGCCAGTTTCCCAAAGATAATTGATTTTTTTAAAAAGCCTTTTTATTTTGTTAGCCTTAGAGCTACAGATAGTTTGCTATTTGCTACTTTACACTTAAATACAGTAAATACATCTCAAGAAAAGTATATGCAAAGTATAACATCGATGGAGCGTTATAAATGTTTTACAATGATCTAGAACTTGGCAGGTGGAAGCATGCCATCATTTACACTTAAACTGCAAGTCCTTGGAAGAGAGCTTGAGAACCTGTGTCAAACTCTGTTGGCAGGGTATAATGACACGTAGAGCACTCTGGCTTTTAAATTTGATCCAATAAGATAAAATCAGTGCTTTGCATTTCTGTAGCACTTAGTACTTTATGAAGTACTTGCATATATGTTATTTGATTTTAATCCTCACTGTTATTCTGTGAAGTAGACAAGGCATCTCATAGGTGAGGGAAAACAATGCTTTGGCCCAAGTTTCAGAGGTTAAATGCTTTGCCCCGAGTTGCAGAATTCTGAAGTCTCGGCTGTTTTAAGTTGATCAATTAAGAAAACACTTTCATTGTTATTTCTACTATATTCTAGTAATATAGTCATATAAAATGTATTGAGACAAAAACAAGATTAATTTTAGAATTAAGAAAATACAAGTTTTGGCTGGGCACGGTGGCTTGCACCTGTAATCCCAGCCCTTTGGGAGGCTGAGGCGGGTGGATCATGAGGTCAGGAGATCAAGACCACCTTGCCCAACATGGTGAAACCCCTTTTCTACTAAAATACAAAAAATTAGCAGGGTGTGGTAGCATGTGCCTGTAGTGCCCAGGAGGCTGAGGCAAGGGGATATCTTGAACCTGAGAGGTGGAGGTTGCAATGAGCTGAGATCTTGCCACTGCACTCCAGCCTGTTGCTAGAGCAAGACTCTGTCTCCAAAATAAAAAAATAAATAAAATAAAATACAAGCTTCATAGAGATGGATATTATTTGTCATAGGAAATAAATTTAACAAAGTCTTTTCTTTCAGGGCAAATCCAGACAGAACCTTTGACTTGGTGTTGAAAGTGAAATGTCATGCCTCTGAAAATGAAGGTATGTGTCTTCTGTGTTCTGTTAATTCCTTTTTTATTTTGACAGGGTCTCATTCTGTTGCCCAGGCTGTGCAGTGGCATAGTCATGGCTCACTGCAACCTCTGCCTCCTGGGCTCAGGTGATCCTCCCACCTCAGCCTCCTGAGTTGCAGGGGCTACCAATGCAGGCCACCACACCAGCTAATTTTTGTAAGTTTTTTTGTATAGATGGGGTTTCACCATGTTGCCCAGGCTGGTCTCAAACTCCTGAGCTAAGTGATCTACCCACCTTGCCCTCCCAAAGTGTTGGGGTTACAGGCGTGAGCCACTGTGCCTGGCTTGTTCTGCTAATTCTTGAAATAATTGATTGAATCTGTCAAAGCAAGTGTTAATATTGTGGACTGCTGGAACCTGATAGTAATAGGAAAATAATACTGCTAAATGTGTATTCTGCACTGAGTGTCTCAAGTTGCTAGTAATAAAATAGGTGTTAAGTCTTTGCCCTGGGGTGGTAGAAATCATGAATGTTATCTGTGCAGCTTGAATTCAGGTGTGTGTTAAGCTCATATAACTTACAACTCAACTTCACCATTCATTGATAAAGTTATCATTAGTTTTGTTGAAAGGGCATGTCTTTTCATTTTCTTTCATTTATATTTGGAAATTCAGTGTCCTTTTTAAAACATTAGTGCACATTCTTCTGCTAGTACCCATGGAAGCTATACCACTTTCCTTCTGATGTTTCTGGAATGCAGAATGCAGACTGAGTAGCCCCTTCTGTTGGATTTACTCCAATAGCACAGCACTTCTGGAGGGAGGTAAACAATAGTGTGACATTACTTGGAAGGGTTTCAGCTGTCAGTTCTGTACAATTTCCTGAAAAGATGAGAGTATAGTACTTTAATATCATGATTTTCATCATTTCCCTCCACTTTTGTCATATTTTTTATTATGTGTGTATGTGATGGGGGCAGGGGTAGTAGACAAGAATAAGGAATATCTTTTCTTGCCTATTTTCTTTTAATGTGTTCCTGCATGGTATGTCTTTCTAGAACTTACAGCATATGTCTTTACTTACTGTGTACTTGGACCCTGGATAGCATGATGATTAGGCGTTGGGGTTTTGTGGAGATAGGCTGGCCATCCTGAAACCTTGGTGGAAAGTCTGCTGACACTTTTAGCTTCAGAAACTATCCAGCAATCATATACTCTTAAGTAATTTGGAGCTGCACACCTTAAAATAGGGAAGCCCAACCCAATTGCGGTGAAATGGGCATGACTAATTTTAGTAGGAAGTCACAAATTCTTGGCTCCACCAGCCCCACCTACTGTACTCCTGGTCTATTTGAACTACAGCTGTGGTTAGGTTTGTCCATTGGCAAGGAGTGATCCTAGGTTTTAGGGAATCTTTTCTGGTTGATTAAGTTATCTTTTATTGCCCTATACCTGGTAAAGTTTGTCCATTTGCATTATTTTGAGGCCCAACCAGGTTCTCTTTGAAGATCGGGTGTATTAGGTAGATGGATACTCAAATGGATACATTACTTTTTTCAGCTCCAATTTAATTCTATTCTGTAGTGTATTTGTGATATGAGTTAATCTTAAAAATACCTACCACAACATTACTTAAGGTGTATGAAGTAATGCTCATCTGATATTGCTTGTAAAGCAGTGGCACAGTGGCTCACACCTGTAATTCCAGCACTTTGGAAGGCTGCAGTGGATGGATCATTTGAGGCCAGGAGTTCGAGACCAGTCCAACCAACATGGTGAAACCCCATCTCTACTAAAAATACAAAAATTAGCCAGGCATGGTGTTGCATGCCTGTAATCCCAGTTACGGGGGAGGCTGAGGCACAAGAATTGTTCACGGAGGTTGCAGTGAGCTGAGATAGTGCCAGTGCACTCCAGCCTGGGTGAGAGTGAGACACTGTCTCAAAAAAGTTATATGTATATGCATATGCATATGCATATGCATATGCATATGCATATGCATATGTATATGTATATGTATATGTATATGTATATGTATATGTATACACACACACACAGCTAATAAAATAGGCTAATTTCATTTGGAAAGCATGAGTTCTCTAATTTTAAATGCATATTAAAGTGATCTTGTTAAAAGATCACTTATATAACACCCAATCTATGCATGTGTCAGAGAGATTGACCTTTTTATAAAGACTTCTGAGGGGTTTATTCCCTTCTTCCTCTTTTTGCTCTTTCCACTTTCCATGAACTAGTTATTCCAGTTTGTATCTTCTACTTCTGCCCTGCTTTAATATTATACCTTCTTGTCTTTTTGCTGTTATTGTTTAAATCACTACTTTTTAGAAGCATCTTCATTTGTATTTTAACAGTTTACATCTAGCCTGTTAAAGATGTAACTCTGATCAATGGTTAAAGTAAATAATGTTGGCTTCTCTGTAGGTTGCAAATAATTTATTCCATTTGGCTAATTGGCAGAAAGTTCTAAAGATATTTGAAAAAACTAAACTCAGCCATGTAAGAGGCAGTAACCTTTGTTCTTTATTATGACTTAAATAGTATGAATATGGCTAATACTTTAGGATATTACAAGTTATGATGTTTTTTGCCCCTAAAAAGCAGTAACTATAGTCAATAACTATAATAAAATAAGTATAAATAATAAAATCAATAACTATAAGAGTGCTATAAAAGTACAATTCTATGCCAAATTGAGAGATTTATGTTTCTGTAATATTTTATCAATGTTCTACTTTGTAGCTAAATCTTAAATAGAAAAATATATGAAAATTATTTTAAAAGTTATTGAAATCCTGCTGTTTCACTGTTAGTGCCTATTTTTTTAATGAGGCTCTGTTAACGTGCATTATCAACTTGTTTAAGGTAGGATAATTTTTTTTTTTTTTTTGCTAACATTAAATGAGCATGGGTGAAATTCTTACCTAGTAATAGACTTGGAAAATAAAACGTATAATTTAGGATGCTTTGGAGCACAAACATAAGACTGGTTTAAATAAGAAACTAGAGAAACTTGATATAGTTCATACAAGAAGAATCAAACATCCAGGTGCTTTCCACTTCTCATCTCTGCCACTCACAGTAATGGTGTCATTGGAGGGCTTAGATTTCTTGTGGTTATAAGACTGTCAGTGAAAGTTGGAATTCTGCTTTGTTGTTTGTGACTCTGGGGGTGACAGACACTGGCTTTACATGTCTCTATTTAGAGTCAGAAAGTTTCTTTTTCCAAATTTTCTAGACAGTCTTTCCTTAGATCCTGGTAGCCTAAGTTGGCACGGGCCTGACCATTACTGAAATTATCATTGGTGGTGTAGAGGTGGAGGGGTGGGTGGCAAGACCATCGTGGTTGATTTACCTAAAAACTGGCAATGCATAGATGTTGAGAAATCAATTAAAATGCCTTTGTAAAAGAACTCTCAGAATATTTATTTTTTGATGGCTATTTGATCAAATAGAAAATAAATTTAGAGTAAATCCGGTTTATACTAAGATTGGTGATATTATATTAAGGTATTTGGCATGCTTCTCTTGTTCATTTTTAATAGATAAGTCTAAATGCTTTCATTTATCCAGAATAACTTAGATAAGTATCTTCAGAGACAGGCTGTTAAGTTTTAGTTAGCAGTGTGAAATGACATTAGCTTTTAAAATATAACTTGATAAAGCTAGCTCTGGTAATATTGTGATCTCCACCTATCTATTGCTATTTGGACTTGTTTCAGAGGCATGACATGGTTTTTTTTTTTTTGAGAACAACACATTTCAGAACATTCTGGAAAATAGCTTGTTAGTTTCATATGCAGCACTCTACAAACCTAAAAAATGCTGTGAGGGGGTTGGTAGTGTTTCCCTATAGTGTCTCCTGCATGTTAGTAGAATTTGTTCAGGTGGTGTCCGACAGACTGGTTGTGGTATTTTTTTAATGGAAATTTCCCTGGCAGAACAACCTCCCAGTAACTTCTGTTCCAGCTGTCCAAGAGCAAAGTGCCAAAATTTAGATCTTAATGCTCTTCCTGGTAGATCTCCAAGATAATTGCTAGTGTTATTCTTTTTTTTGTTGTCTGTCTTCCTTCCAGGCAGGGAAATACAGCCAGCAGGGGTGGCCTCTCCTCACTTCTGTTAGCAGAACTCATTGTTACCGTACTGTCTCCACTTTCCCCAAAGTGACTTAAGATTTCAGGGAAATGAAAAGTAACTTTTCATCAATAAAAGATTGGGGATGCCTCTAAACATTTCTCTTCTGGGCAGTGGCCTTGGTACTTTAGCTTTCTCTTTTTTGTTTTGTTGATAGATTATTTCAAGTAATAATCGTAGCAGTAGTAGTAATAGTAGTAGTAGTAGTAATAGTAGCAGTAGGAGGAAGAGGAGAGTGGTAGTAATAGTAGTAACAGTAGCAGTAGGAGGAGGAGGAGGAAGAGGAAGATGAGGAGGAGGAAGGAGAGGTGGAGGAGGAAGAGCAGCAGCTGCAGCAGCTAATATGTCATACTTATTCTGTGTTGGGCACAATTCTGGGTATTTTTCATGTACTATTTAAGCCTCACAAAAATCTTATGATACAGGAAATGTTTATTTCCATTTGGCACATGAAGAAACTGAAGAACAGAGAAATTATGAAACTTGTCCAGGGTAGTCTGTCCAGAGTCTGTATTTTAACTACTGCTCTGTGGCCTCCCATTGCATAGTAATTTCATGTGTATAGGCAGTTTTATCAAGTGAGGAAATATTTGAGTATAAACTGTATGTGGTACAAGTAATTTTTCCCAAATGGGAATACAGTATGTTCCCTAAAATTAATGAATCTAATATAATTCCACCTAAAACAATTACTGAGTTTTTTCCTTGTGGTTACAGACCCTAACTCAGCTGATCTTCCTCCCTATCACTTCTCTTTTTTAGGATTTGCATTTTCATATTTAGTGACTCTGTGATCTAACAGTTCTGGTTATTTAATAGTAGTTTTAAAACATCTTTAGCAAGTGTTGTTTTCTTTATTCCTGTTGTCTAAAAGAG